TGTTGTGTTTATGGTTGGGTTGTTGTGTTTATGGTTGGGTTGTTGTGTTTATGGTTGGGTTGTTGTGTTTATGGTTGGGTTGTTGTGTTTATGGTTGGGTTGTTGTGTTTATGGTTGGGTGGTTGTGTTTATGGTTGGGTTGTTGTGTTTCTGGTTGAGTTGTTGTGTTTATAGTTGGGTTGTTGTGTTTCTAGCTGGGTTGTTGTGTTTTTGGTTGGGTTGTTGTGTATCTGGTTTTGTTGTTGTGTATCTGGTTGAGTTATTGTGTTTATGGTTGGGTTGTTGTGTTTATGGTTTGGTTGTTGTGTTTCTGGTTGGGTTGTTGTGTTTATGGTTGGGTTGTTGTGTTTATGGTTGGGTTGTTGTGTTTATGGTTGGGTTGTTGTGTTTATGTTTGGGTTGTTGTGTTTATAGTGGGTTGTTGTGTTTCTGGTTGGGTTGTTGTGTTTTTAGTTGGGTTGCTGTGTTTATGGTTGGGTTGTTGTGTTTCTGGTTGGGTTGTTATGTTTTTTGGTTGGGTAGTTGTGTTTATGGTTGGGTTGTTGTGTTTATGGTTGAGTTGTTATGTTTTTGGTTGGGTTGTTGTGTTTATGGTTGGGTTGTTGTGTTTCTGGTTGGGTTGTTGTGTTTCTGGTTGGGTTGTTGTGTTTCTGGTTGGGTTGTTGTGTTTATGTTTGGGTTGTTGTGTTTATGGTGGGTTGTTGTGTTTATGGTGGGTTGTTGTGTTTCTGGTTGGGTTGTTGTGTTTCTGGTTGGGTTGTTGTGTTTCTGTTCCAACAGGACGTGGCGGAGGTGTTTGTTTTCAAAGGCGGGGCCAATATCAGGTTACGTGAATATCACATTTAATTTGTTTACACTTTGGTGTTTATTTATTTATTTTTAATTTTTGTTAAGAGAAAAAAAGAAAGGGTAATATAAAAAAGGAAACATAACACGGTGTTGAGACCGTAATATAATACTTTGATTGTAATCAACATTATTGTTGCTGGAATAATGGCTCTAGGGTTCTAAAAAAATAAAAAGTTAAGTTCTCTTTTTAAAATGAAGCATAGTATTCATTGAAAAAGTAAAGTTCTCTTCAACTTTTGCCAAAAGGCGTTGTTTAATTAGCACGTGGTCATACAGGTGTCACAAGTCTCCAACTATTGCCGGGTATTTAATTGAGCTGGTCAATGATATATCGTAAGGTAAAGTGTTATTTTACTATTTCAAATTATGATACTTTTTATCTCTAGAGCAGGGGTTCCCAACCTTTTTTTTACTCTAGAGCACATTCTAAAATATCGGTAGGGTGGCGGGCACCACCTATTTTAAATCGACAAACTCCTTCCATAACTTGTCATTTTCCCATAATTTATTTTCTTTTTTCCTTATTTTCTAATAGTCATAATGTATTAATAAGTAATAAACAAAAATGTTTCAAAATAATAAAACTATTTGGCATTTTTTTCAAATTGCATACACACAGAGAAATGTAGTTACATAACGTAAAGAAAAGTTTTCTGCGTGTACAAGGTGTGATGTGCAAATGGCACTAGCCGTTCCAGGCTAGCGTAAATTGTGCAGTCTGGCTCGCCGCTAGACAAGTTGGGACAAGTATCGAACATATTTAATAATTCTAGGCAGTAAAAAAAAAAAATTAAAACTGTAACAAATAATTGAAAATAAATCATATTTTAAAATAATGTTTATGAAAAAAATTCTGTCTCTGTCGAATAGTGAGAGGCGGGCACATACGAATCGTTCAGATGGCGCCATGGCGCCCTCGGGCACAGGGTTGGGAACCCCTGCTCTAGAGTAACCTCTGTTATTAGCTTTTAGGGAGTTATTCTTTGACTTTTTTCTGCTGAAGTATACCGTGTTTTTTATTCATGAAATTAAATAATGTTTAATTTATTGTTTTTTTTTCATTTCGAATTTAAAATAACAAATTCATTCCAAAAAAAAAGTTAAACTTTTTTGTCATCAAAACTTGGCAACAGTTTAACGGGTTTTCAACTAGTACCGGTATACAGCATTGTAGAAAAATCAAAGTTTTCTATATCATTCAATCAATCAAAAAATCAATTATTCACATTACAAAACGACCGTACATCGATGGACGTTATGCAATAATGGTCTGACTATTGCGCGGATCAAAAGCCGATTTCGCGGAAAAATACAATTATCAGCCGCGTTCATTTTTATTGGAAAGATTTGCCGATTCGTTCACTTATGGTGTGCCGGATTGGATATTTGATACTTGGGTGAAAATCTGGTCAGATTTCTGACGCGTCAAACTCCAACCTTGTCACGTGATTAATGACGACGCGACTGTGCTTTTTGCGCGCTCAAGCGGAACATACAAACCGTTCTGGGATTTGAATAATTTGATTGTTGCTGTTCTTGTCAAGTGTGTGTGTGTAAGGAAAATATGCGGGGTAATTTTTTTAACAGAGGAGTTTACTGACTAAGTCATGACTGATTCCTTTTCATTTCTACTATTTTGGAAATATTTATAACTCAATCGTTTGCGTGGATTTAAAAAAAAAAAATTCTGTTTGAAATTCTAAAATCTGGTAATCAATTAAGTAGGATCTAATTAAATTTTTTTCCCAAGAGAATGGATGTCGTATGTATTTTGTAACACTTTTGTTTGTTGGATATATTACGCAGTAAGTTGCACAAACTAAAACAAATCGTTTTTAAATATATTTTTTTCTATTGTGATGTTTAAACCCAACTTAAAATCACACTTTAATGTGATATAATACTTCGACTATCAACAAAAAGTGTTAGAGTGTATGTATCGGACTGCAGTGTTAAGACAATCGTTATTTAAGGGTTTTGATTAGGTAGATTAGTACTAGCAAGGGGGGGGGGTAAATTAATGACGTCATAAGAATTATGTGATTTCACATATTGGTGACATAGAAATATGACGTAGCACATATTTATATTTAGTACTTTTAAGGAATAACAATGTTTTTTTTTTAAATCATTTTAACATAAGTTAGAAATTTGACCAATTTACGCAAAGGTATCGAGTTTAAATCCTGCACATGAGTCTCGGTGAGTCTCCCTGAGTCAACCCAGCTCTAATGGGTACCTGACTCATATTAGGGAGAGTAAAAATGGTCCGGCAGAGTGCTTACCCCACTATCCTATCATATGCCGAAGTCTTAGAAACTGATATACTCTACTTCATCACAGTGGACCGACAGATTCAAAAGTAACTTCTTATCTAAAGGGGTTGAGAGGGAAGGGTGGACTTTAAGAAGTCAGATTATGGATAGGATTCAGACTTTATGACTTTACTAACCCATGGCTTATATCAGCCATGGCCATGGATTAGCTAACCTATGGCTTGTAAGCTATGGGTTAGCAACAGGATTTAGCTAGGCTGTAACCACATTGTACGATTGTTAAGCTGTTAAGGTGTATTGTCAGCAAGACAAGGTTGCCAGTTTAAGGTGAATATCCTGTTAGTTGTGTATATTGTATCCGTGTTGAGCTGTATTCACACTAGAAAGACAATGGCGGTCATTGATAGGTGGTGTGGTTAATCGTGGATAAAAGTTATAATGGAATGGGACGGGTCACGGAATTTGGGGTTGGTTGTGTGGGGGGGGGGGGGGGGGGGGAAAGGGGAGTTGTTTTCTATTGTGGTGGAGTGATTTGGGGAATCTGTCAGTTAAGGGTTTGGGTTTTTCGTGTTTATGTGTCAGAGGGTTTAGGTTTAGTTTCAGTGAGTTGGGATGTTGAGGGTTGGGTTTTGGTGGGCTGTGGAGTTGAGGGTTGGGTTTAGGTATTTGATCAATATAGGTAATGAATAGAGGGTAAGACGTTCACAAAGCATAAGTTGGGGCTAATAACACACAGAGATTTGGGGGTTGGCTAGTAGGGGTCACATGAGTAGAGGGTGGGAGTGGCTAAGTGAATCTGACCACTCCCAGCATCTCTTGCTACAAGCTACAACAACCGAATATCATTGCCGGTGTCTTGAAAATGTTTTAACAATATCCACACATAGACACCATAAACCTAACCTAGACATACTTTAAGGATCTTCCTTGAAACAAGTAGGCTAGAACCACAGTTTTATTTTTGTCGAGTCACAGAGTGACGTCATGGTGCCGAATGGCGCGTGGACCAGTCCAACATGACAAATGCTCATTCACTCGGAAGTCAGCTAACGCGGCTTGTCTTGTTCATTATTCTTAATGGTACCTCCCGTAGGGCAGACACTTTTATAGATTGGCACTCCCCGGGCCCTAAACCCATTCCTATCCCCCCCCCCCCACACACACCCCTCGCTTAGAAAACCAGGACAAATAAATGAAACTACCGGAGCGCGTATTTCACTGTGTAAGCTCTTGTGTAAAACTGTACGGTCTACCTTTAATTAGGAACACAGTTCAATGTTAAACACACATTACATTTTCATTGGAGTTTTAACCAACGTGGTAAGTGCTACAGAAATATTACCTACTATTTATAACACCTCCCGAGTATATCGGTCTAGTTTTTTTCTACGAATTTATTTTTGGCCTTGTCCAATTCTATGGCTGACCCTGTAGGATGTTCATATGGGCACTAATAGTCTCCTTCACAAAGTCTTCTAAAATTCTTCGAGTCTGCAAAACAATCAGATCCAGACTTTGATGTTATCCGCCCCCGCCCCCCCCCACCTTTCCTTAAGCAGGAATGTGATGATTACATACAGTGTTTCTTTCAGACTTTTTTCTCCGGGGGGGGGGGGGGCTCTTAAAATACCGAGGGGGGGGAGTTAAATTTTCCAGGGGGAGGTAAAAGTATATATTTTCTATATAATTCTAATTTTTCGGAGGGGGGGGGGGGTAGACGTTGTACACCCGAAAACATGACTAAAAGAAACTCATAACACCTGTACTTTGAAATTCTTTATAAAGATCCTTTTAATATCTACTATGTGTGTCTTTCTTCCCGTTATTTAGAGCTGCGTGGTTGAGTGGTAAGGCACACAACTATTAACCTTCATGTTGTGTGTTCGCTTCAAGGGCTAGAGACCTTATGGCGAGTTCATTCAGCGTTAATGGGTACCCAACACGAGTCGGGAAAATCAACAAAATTCCTTCACAAGCCGAGGTCAAAACAACAGATGAACTCTACTTCATCTTCCATATACAACGTCTAGTTTGAGCAGGTACTGGTTTTATGTTTCTTATTTCTCTATACTGTGTAGCTATATAATATGAACTATGCAAGTGTAGCAATATATTATAACGTCTGAAATTGTATGTATAAATTATTACGGCATACGTAAGTGTAGCTATATATTATGAAATATGTAAGTGTTGCTATATATTATGGCATGTAAGTGCAGCCATATATTGTGGCATGTAAGTGCAGCCATATATTGTGGCGCCTGTAAGTTAACAATATATTATGGCACCCTTCATTCAGCAGTAATAGCCCTAATTTATGGATCAGTACCCAGTGGCGTAGCGAGGTCGGGTGAAACCCGGTGCGGTACTCAATGGTGTCACCCCCTTCCCGGAGACAAACTTTCAAATTTTCGATTTGCACCCCCCTTCAAGTTTTTGATTTGCACCCCCCCCCCCCACCCTAAAACTTTCGATTTACACCCCCTCAAGTTTTTCTCTATATATTTTGCTATTTTTTGCCTTGGTGTCACCCGGTGCGGTCCGCACCCCCCTCCCCCCCCCCCTCGCTACGCCTCTGTCTGTACCTATAACAATACAGTTGCGATTGTATAAGTAAGGAAAGCATGATTATAGCCAGTGGCGTAGGCAGGGGGGGGGGGGTTAGGGGGGGGGGGTCATAACCCCCCCATAGATCCCTCGGTATATATAAAAAGTATGAGGGGGGGTGAAAATCGAAAGTTTGAGGGGGGGGGTGCAAATCGAAAGTTTGAGGGGGGGGGGGTGCAAATCGAAAGTTTGAGGGGGGGGGGTGCAAATCGAAAGAAAGTTTGTCCCCGGGTAAAAATTGGAACCCCCCCCCCCCCTTGAGACGATCCTGGCTACGCCACTGATTATAGCAATGCAGTCGATTTTACAGGTACGCCTTAGCCCTTGGTATCTATTATTCACTGATTTGTGAAATGAAATTAGTGTAGAACTTGGTTTGTAAAAACATGTATTATTTATTTTAGAATTGTTTTGATTTTTTTCTTATCATGTGATAAGTAAACTAGTTTTGTTTATTGATTGATTTAAAGTCCAGTTGGTTTCTTGTTGTGTCTGCTTTGTGGTGTAGAGTCAGAGACTATTGGGTTCGAATCTTAATCAAGTTTTGGTTCTCAAAAATTTGGGGGTGGGGTTGGGGGTTTGGGATAGGGGCTAGGAAGGGAGACTACCTATTATTACTAGGGGGTTTCAGCCCATGTCCATGAGTTTGTAAACAATTTTGTACCCACAAGCAGTCCCGAATAGGAGGGTGGCGGGTCGGAGGATTAAAGGGGGGGGGGAGGGTCACTACTTACATTTTTTTCACGCTACACTAATGGCAGCAGCGCGGGTAATCAAAGAAATCCAGAGGTCTGTTTTAAGTTTTTCATAAGTCAACCCGTCTTGATACCTTGAGATCAGAACTCCGATAGTGAACAAAAGACTTCTTTGAAGTCCGGAAAAAAAGGAATCAAACAATCGGGAATTCCCAATCACGGTAAAAAAAAAATATTTAAAAAATCGACCCCCGCGCCTCCATAGTTATCAAATTTCTGTTTGCCTTCAACGCTTTAAAAAATTGATTGTATACACGTCAATGACAACTTCCGGTTTCTGGGAATGTATGTCGTAATATGTTCCTGCAAGATAGTGATTGTAGGCAGTTTTGGGTTGGGGGGAGGGAGGGGGGTGGTAACTGAAACAGAACAATAGTGAAGGGGGGGGGGGGGAGGTGACTAGAACATATAGTATTGACGGAGGGTGATAACAGAAAGTGTTGTGGTAGGTGATTAGAACAGAATGTGCGAAGATTCCTAGAACCAGAGTGTGTTGGGTGGGTGGGAGCAATTGGAAAAGAAAGTTGTGCGGGAGGTGATTAGAAGAGCCAGTATTGGTTGGGTGGGAGTAACTAGAAAAGAAACAGTTGTGGGAGGTGATTAGAACAGCCAGTGTTGGGTGGTTGGTGCAACTAGAAAAGAAACAGTTGTGAAAGGTGATTAGAACAGCCACTGTGGTTGGAGGTAATTAGAACAGCCAGTGTTGGTTTAGAGCAGGGTCATAAAACACCAAAACAAACACGTTTTTGGTGAAATTTAAAAATAATCTAGTTACGTACGTCAACTGATAATTGCCGAAATAGTATAAACATTCACTGACAGGTTTGTATGAAATAGTAGATAAAAAATGGACTTGTTTTGGTTTTTAACATACAGAAATGTATTGAATGGTGGGGCTTTAAAATACTTTTGAAATTTCTTTCTACTAAAAAAAACCCTCGAAAATCAATAATATTAGTTCAAAACTAACTTATAAACGGAGCAAGCGAATAATTCACGAAACAGAAAATTACGCTTTCTTAATTTTAAGGCAACGAAAATTTCCGAAATAATTTCTGTATGCCGTATTTTATTCATTTAAACATTGAAAGCTTGCCTTGAAGCATTTGGGGGGGGGGGGGGGGGGGGGCACTTGAAATTTCCGGGGGGGGGGGCGGTAAAAATTTTTTCGAGGGGCTTCCCCGAAGAGATGTATATATATATATATATATATATATATATATATATATATATATATATATATATATATATATATATATATATATATCTGTGTGTGTGTATGTGTGTGTGTGTGCTTGCGTGCGTGTAAAATTAATGTGTTATTAAAAATCATATAAAAATCTATTTATGTTCCAGTCAACGAAGTACCACGTCTAAAAATGACCCAGTTGACAACCTGACAACCCAATCCACAATCCAACAACCCGTCGAACCGGAAACCTGGATATCCCACATGCCCGTGACCCTGAGCGAATGGTGCAGCGAAACTACCAGTCCATCAGCTTCCCACATTATCCCCCATCGCTTAAATCCACACCCGGTTCAAAAACGGGAAAACCCGCGGCCTCCAACGCGCGCCAAAACGGCGGCGCGTCGTCTACGCACCAAGACGTTGTCCACGCCATCTTTATTCAACGGCGTGGCTTCATCATCGTCCTCGATCAAGGCCGGTTCGTCGGTTTCTAGTCCAACCATCACAACGAGGCGGGCGGTGACCCGGATGGAGTTTCGTCACGGGCGGGGTACGGATAACTCTGACTCACCCCGAACGGATATAACAGGAAGTCGGTTTTCTAAGGAAAGTGACTCCAGCGTACTAGCCCGCCCGTGGGCGGGCAGCGACAACGCCCGGGCTGACCACACCCGTAGAATTCAAAAACTGGAATCTCTAAACCTACGAGACAAAAAACCAAAAACTCCTTTCCCTAACCAGTTACATAAAAAATGTGATTCAACAGCTACGCCATCCTACTCGGGTCAAAAATCAAACTCCAGCGAATCAGGAAACAATTCGGAATCTCAGATTGTGTCAAGCACCGCAGACGACCAGCTCACGTCCAAGTCGGCCGTGGCAGACGACAGTGAGGCCGATGACGTCATGTCCGAAGATGACCACCAGAGTCGGCGGACCATAGAGAAGTGTCTGCGGTGGATCGGCACGCTGCCAGAAAAGTTCTCCAGCATGCATATCGTGCAGGAGCGGACAACATTGACGTACGATTAGCTGTCAGTTAGACAACATTGACGTACGATTAGCTGTCGGCAAGTGTGACAACATTGACGTACGATTAGCTGTCGGCTACAGCGACAACATTGACGTACGATTAGCTGTCAGCTACAGCGACAAGATTGACGTACGATTAGCTGCCAGTTAGACACCACTGACGTACGATTAGCTGTCGGCAAGTGCGACAACATTGACGTACGATTAGCTGTCGGCAAGTGCGACAACATTGACCTACGATTAGCTGTCGGCTACAGCGACAACATTGGCGTACGATTAGCTGTCGGCTACAGCGACAACATTGGCGTACGATTAGCTGTCGGCTACAGCGACTAGCGACATCATTGGCCTACGATTTACTTTCAGCTACGACTCCATTGACGAATGATTAGCTGTCAGCAGTATAGACAATACTGACGTATGATTAGCTGTTAGTTAAAGAGACACCAAAGAAGTACGATTAGCTGTCAGCTACAGCGACACCATTTGCGTACATTTAGCTGTCGCCTACAGCGACAACATTTGCGTACGATTAGCTGTCAGTTAGACACCATTGACGTACGATTAGCTGTCAGTTATATCGACACCATCGACGTACGATTAGCTGTCGGTCACAGATTATCACTCTACATTAACAGCCAGCTAGAGGATTAAGTTTTAGAAAAATTCGCCACTTCTTCGGCCGATGTCTTCAAAATACCAGTATGCTGTTGGAAAATGTTGGGATTATTTTTCTATTCAGAATATGTATTTTCAATTAAAACAGCCTCCAATTGATGAACATTCCAGAAGGGGGGGAGGGGGTTGTAATTTTGTGACAAAGTATGATGAGGGTGGTGGGGTGGAGGGGGTCACACTTTTGTATTTAAGAAATGTGATGTGAGAAACTGAATTTGTATTTGTTATTTTGCGTTTTAGAAAAATAAAATATCGATGTTTAAAATATAGTAATTAAACTTCACTTTTGAAGGGGGGGGGGGGGGGGTTAAAGGCTGCAATGTGACGTAAATTTCTGAGAGGGGTCTGGCTTTTTGCGACCAGTTGTGTCGGAGGGGAGGTAAACATAGTAAAAAAAGTGAAGTCATTTATGGATGACCCCTTAAATACAAGCAACCTTTCACCTCCACCGTTCTATGTTTTACGTTTAAGACGATGTGAATTTGCTTAACTCGTTGGTAAGCGGATAAGAAAGTACATAATCAAGGCCTAATTCGTATTTTAAAATGTGATGTTTATATAAACTAGCCTTACATGCCAGTAACATTTCTATTGTAAAATCAACAAATTATCATAAAACAAGTAATTATTGCCTGTTTCTCCATAAATATCACGCTAACGTATGTACGGTGTTACTAGTCATTGTAGTCATTTGTTGTTATTCACAATTTGTGTGTGTGGGGGGGGGGGGGGGGTTACACGTGCAGTTACTGTACCAAGTAAAGCCAGACCTAGTGACGTCAATGTGTAAAGAAGACCTAACTCACATAAAATTCTACTGCGGACAACTCAGTCCGAAATCAAAATGAATATCTTGTTTTTTGTGTTATTTATAAGATTGAAATGTTATGAACAAAAGTGTAAATTATACATGCTAGTTCATATGTATATATATATATATATATATATATATATATGTGTGTATATATATATATTGTATGCATGTATACATGTAAATATATGTATATTATATTTATAAACTTTTTATTTGATCGCCCACTGTTGCATAACATTACAGAGAGAAGATTTAACTTGGTAAAACAGTATGTTGGTAATACTATATGGTTGAAAATTAACAAAACAAAGAATGGAATTAACGACACCTCTTTATAAAAAAGTGTTAAAGTTTTACCTTGAATTCTGAAATTCCAAACAGTTTTGCCTTTTTTTTTTTTGAGTGCTTTAATAATGTAGGCCTACATTCTAAATTTGCACATTTTATTATCCAAGGGAAGTAGCCAAAATATTTATTTTAAGTAAAATATTTAACAAGTTACTTCCCTTACATTACACAAATAAGCCCAGAACTTTGTTAAATTCGAATATAAAGATATAAATAATGTTTGAATGTTTCTTAAATATGGATGTATGTTGACTATTCACAAGAAATATTATTTATTCTGTTTTGAAACGTCTCGTTTTATTTTAAAATTACTTGAGATTAATTCTAAATACAAATGAATGTTTGTTTTTTCACCAACTCTCAGGTTTTTAGCTTTCCATAACATAAGCCTTTAATTAAATAACTTTCAGGCCAATAAACACTTAGATTACCACTTCAACATACGCATAGGTAGCACGAATTTCATTCTTGGGTTTGATCAAAAGATCATCTCTTCAAAGAGTTTGTTGAGTAAACTCTATTAGCCAACAGGGCAGGTGAAGTAGTGTTCACCTGTTTGTAATATCAAGCCATTGTGTGGTCATCTCGAGGGTCATACATTCACACCTTAACCTGCCAGAGTTAGGAATCCATTGTCTGTCCACACCCACCCCACCCCCAACCCAAGATGAAGCTCTAATACTTTTAGATTTAAAAACTACCACAGTCGACCCTGCTATTTCATAGATCCCTATAACACAGATGTTAAAAATTATAATTTGAAACTGCTGAGCTTGATATAAAGATACCCTTTCCACTATGTCAGTTCATGGTGCAGATGAAGTAGAGTTCATCTGTTTCTGTGACCTAGTCATATGAAGATATACTGTGGTCAACACTACGCCCAGTCAGTTTTACTTGACCTAATATAAGTCAGGTACTCGTTAGAGCTGGGTGAACTCAGGGATGTCCTACAGGCTCAGGACTGGGATCGGAACTCAACTTTTGGTTTGGTAGTTGCCCCCTCTACCACTTCTTACTACCAAAATTGACATCAGGATCTAATAGTAATATCACTGCATAAGAACTCAATAACTTGGTCATAGTGATCTCAATTTAAAAAAAAAATATCAACACATTTGAAACAAAGTATTACAATCAAGTGAAATGTTTACCCAGTTTATTCACATTTTAGCATGATTAAGCAGACATTCAAACTTGTGTGGTGGTTGATGACAACCTCGTTAACAAATAATGACATCTTTTACAAACAGGTCAACAATCTGACAGGGTACGTACAATCTTTGATAGGTAACAAACAAACTTTGACAGGTTACCAACAATCTATTACAGGTTATTCCCAACATACAATCTTTGACAGGATTTCAACAATAGTGACAGGATACCAGCAAACTGTTACAGGTTATTACCAACAAAACAATCTTTTACAGGTCAAAAATGATTTTTGACAGGATACCTTCAATCTTTGATTGATTCCCTACAAACAATCTTTGACAGTTTACCTAGAATCTTTGACAGGCAGCTTACAAAATCATATCAGCTATCTCTGATGGTTGATAATAATCTTATCAACACTTTTTGATTGTTGATAACAGCATTATCAACAAACTCCTGATCATTTTCGTTGACTTTGTGAGCAAAAGCTACATTTTTCATAAACAATCATTCAAAGACTTACAGCACAAGTAAATATTAATTACTAAAAGTAATCAAAGGCCGTAAAGCACTAGTAAATATTTACTAAAATCATTCAAAGATCTTATAGCACTAGTAAATATTACTAAAAATAATTCAAAGCCTTATAACAATATTTAAAATATTACCTAAAATCATTCAGACAATATGGTACTAGTAAAGATTCGCTAGAATTATTTGTAGACCTTTTGTGTAGTGATGTTAGTTCTCCGAATCACTTGAAGATCTGACAGCAATGAAAAATACCTAGACCTTTCAAGTGTTGAATCACTCAAAATATTTTATGGCATCAGTTGTTAGAAACATTAAAAGAAAATTACATGTAGAGGAAGTAATTTTCAGAATCATTCAACTAGTTCTTTGAATCATTCAACTATTTTTTATTTAATGGTGCTAGTTTTTAGAATCATTAAAAAAAACTATATGTAGTGGCACTATAGACTAGATCTTACCTCAGTCACTACACTACAACATGCACATCTTACACAATTAATTAATTAACTAATTAATCAATTACAAAGATTTGGTTAAGAAAAGCATGGACCATTACGAACATAATGTATGCATATGAAATGTATTTTAAAAAATGTATTAAACTAGTTCTAGGTGTTATTTTTAAAAATGTAATTTCTAATAAAAGCAGAATGTAAAATTGTAGTAAAGTTCTCGTTGCACTTAGGACTTCCATCCTCATACAAAACAGGGGCCAGGCTACTCAAGAAAGATCACATTTAATGTAGCGAGACTTAACCCTTCACACACCTAACCAGGTTTAACTATACTTGTTCTCAAGTTGGGACCCTTGCAAACCTCTAAGTTTTTATATTTTTCTTATTATTTTTTTTTACCACATTAAATACAACCATTTTTTTTAAATAAAGAACAATTTAGGTTTGATAATTTGCATTTAAAATAGAACACAAATCAATTATTTTTCCATTAGTATCTATTTTATGTGTAGTTGCAGCCCTTTGCTCCCCAGGGGCCACTAAGGAATGAGGATGATCTATTTTATCTTAATGTGGTATGCTGTATACAAAAACTTATGTGTTTTGAGTTTAGAAGGAACTTGAAACAGCCTTAACCTTTCATCATTTTTTTTTAGATAAATAGAGCTAAAATTCATAAAAATGGAGGAAAGATATAGTTATTGTGGGGTAATACATTTTATCAGATGCACTTTCGCACAATTGGTATGTTAAGGGTTACATCAGATGGTAAAAAGAACTGTGGTGACATTGTTTAGTGACTTCCATAGGCCTGTGGATGCTCATCATCTAGTTTTAAAGCTAGGTTTAAAGCTACACAACACTGGCTGTTGACAATAAGCCTTCATGATTGCTGTTCAAACGATAACTAACATAACGCATCCTTATCACACTGTCAAACTGAGCTCTAAGATTTGAACTCTGAGCTGTAACGTGAGCTCAATCTATTTAAGACAATAGTACACGCTATACAAAGCAACA